GTACGACGATTGTGGTAAAACGTCATCTCGGTTGTTGTGGGCCTGCTGCACCTGGCCTGCAATGGTGTGGATGTCTGATGGCGTGAACTCTGCTGGGAGTTTTGATTTAAAGCTTTTGTGACTGCAGGGATTCATATTATTGGTTCTTTCAGTAAAAGAACCAAGAATATGAATCTGCTGGGAGTGTTGTGGTTTTGAGGTCATCCTCACTCACCTGAGCAGTGCAGGTGTCACGCGTAGTCTGACGTCGCACAACGCCTGTGAAATAGAGCCTGACAGCTAATTGGGTCCTTCCTGCTCAAGTAAATACAAATCTGAATCTCGTAGACTGCAGACGTCATGTGCAGTGCAGACGTCACTTGCCAGCGTCATTCGCAGTGAAGATCTCGTGTGCAAGTGCAGACGCGATCTCGGGAAGCAATGGGACACTCGAGTTGGGAGTGAGAATCGCTGACCGTGGTTCTCCCGGCTTGATATCTTTGTTGCAGAATGAATCTCAAGCTACCAAGGCATTCATCAAAATTATCGAAGATGCTGAAAATGAGTATCAGGTAAAAGTTAGCTTTGTATCAGTTCTTATTAAATGTAATTGAACCTGTCAAAGTCAAGCAATGAAGTAAATGTTGTATTATGATTATAACCTTAACCACTAATATTTTGTAATATATGATTTGCTATGTCCTTCAAGTCATCGTAAGTTACCCCCCTCCTGGCTTGATCTGCTGCCCCAGCATGACCAACTCTTCTGAAAATGAGTTTACAGCTGTGGCACCTTCAAGCCCTGCATGTCGCTGACCCCTGCTATACCTCCTGTGCTACAGTCCCCACTTCCCCAGGCCATGCCATCTACTGCCAAGCTCTCTCAAGCCTGGTCACCATTGTATTCTTTAAATGCTTCTCGACTTGCTTACTTTGCACAGTAGCCAACAGCTCTGTCTCTGATCTCATAGAAGCACTCGAGTCAAATATTGCTCTTATAACTTATATAACGAATTGTATCATTTGTTTCCGAAGTTTCTTCATGTTTTATGTTTGTAATATTTGAAAAACAATCCCTGTTTGTCCTCGCATTGTCTCTGATATCGTGCATTCATACGTTACGACGTGAAACACGTAGGCGTTTTCTTTTAAGTTGTAGTTGAAAGCGTCCTGTTGGCAGTGTCCATATTTCGCGTGACAAATGATTCGTGTGTTCATCTTGCAGACGGCGATCTCAGAAAACTATCAGACGATGTCGGACACAACCTTTAAGGCTCTTCGCCGCCAATTGCCAGTCACCCGAACCAAGATCGACTGGAACAAAATCCTCAGCTACAAGATTGGCAAGGAGATGCAGAGTGCTTAGGCAGGAGTTGCATGCTTGCTTTTAATATGCTCTGTCCTCATGGTATGGTCTCCTGCCCGGCATAACCACAGTGTATTTTGCATTTCGTTGGTTGTTTCCTGGACTGAGCATTTGGGATTTTGGTCTTCACTGTAAAATGTATATGTCAACATCAGAATTAAAATTTAGTTTCATTTTTGTCTCGTACCTCTGTTTTTTTTCTTGGTTTGATGGCTCTTAGGGTAACTGCATGATTCAAAAATTGAGTTGATTGCTTCCTTTTTGGATGTGTAAAATAAATGATGGGTGAAACGAGACCATACCTTTGTTTCGATGGCAAGATGTGGCACACAATTTATGAAGACCTGGGGAGCTGAAACTTGTTTTGTAATTTAGGACGTTGTCTTATATATTACAAGCTTTACTGTAGAAGCCCCTTCCATGCATTTAAGTTTATTTCAACAATCTTTAATGTATTTCAAAAATGTGTTTGTTTTATGAGTGTAAAGAAGATCTTATAATTTACACATTACGTTTGTCATACTTGCAATAATGAATTTCCCCTCATTTAACAACTTGTCCTAATAAATTGCATATTTGCTTTCATATATGAAAGAGATGCTATGTGTATTTTGTTTAATTTGTTTGCTTTCCATGTTACCTTGTGCCAGATGCCTGCATCACAGTCCAGTGCTGGTGGCTGCTGTGCTACATTGCACAAAGAGCACACACTGCACTGCCCACCTGTAATATTGTTGGAAAACATACTTTGCAAATTGTATTACTAACAAAAAAAACTAATAAAAAACTGCTTTATTCATACAATATCCAACTCTTAGGACAATTGTTCCTTGTTCAGATTTCTGTTTATGCATGTACTGTTGCATTTTTAGCAAGATTTGAGCATATTAAGGGTACATTTATGGAGAAAAAAAACAAGCTGGATGGATAACCAGTCCTTTATAACTTTTTTGTTGTAATTTTCTGAGGTAAACGGCCTTTCTTAATCCCACAATTAAATTGGTATTTTGAGTGTTCCCCCTTGAATCATTTGTGCTGTTACGTGGGCTCTCGCATTCATTTATGTATTGGAAGATCTTCTTGCAATGAAAACGTCTTCCCACTTTGTGCCCTTTTTGTACCAACATCCCACTGAAAGTATACAGTCATTGTTTCCCAAAGTAACATTTGCCTGCAATCTGGCTGGGTCATTGATACTATTTATAAAGACAACATTGGGGGAAAAAACAAACAAATCAAGCTGCAACATTACCACACATTTACATTTTTAAGATGGCATGTTAAAATTGTTCAAACATCAATGCAGCAATGACGTTCAAGGAATAAAAACAGACCGAGTCTAAATCTTAGCACCAATAAAAAAACGGATAAATTTGTGGCTTCGACTTTTACTTTTAAAAGTTACAGCAGTGGGACAATGCCTGACATAATTCATGCGTTGACAGCAGCTTCGATATCCTGACCTCTTGAAGTGCATTATAGAGCTGCTGTGAGCCCATTGTCGACATTTCTTGCCCGTTGTTTTCCTCAATAAGATGGCCAAGTCGAACCGTGTACCACTCGCGATGAATGTCAACGCGAAATATCTCTTGCCGGTTGACCCCAGAACGAGGCCGGCGTGACCCTTGACCTTGCGACCCTTGACCTTGCGGCGCTCCGCGCGTCGTGAAATCTTTATTTGATTAATGATGGGGTTGTCTGTTGCTCCAACTCAGTGGTGCATCACCTTTACTGTAGCCCTCGGCACCCCTTTGGTTCTCAATCGTTAAAACATGGAAATGTTAATAAATACACAGGGTTGATGAAACAAAGTTAAGGTGTTTACCTACGTGCCCGTGCTTAATTTGTGTTTTCGATGATTTACCTTCAAAACAATCCGACATGTCTCGCACCCCCAGGTTAACAAACACTGCTCTAATTTTCTAGATTTGAAGCTTTCGTGACTGCAAGGATCCATATACTCTTTGGTTCCATTCGGTAAAGTCACGTGAAAGTATAAAACAACAAACCCACGGGGTTTTTTTTTTATCAGAGATTTGTTCACGAGGCAATTCAGATTTACAAACAGACACAATTTCAACCGAGAAGATTGGTTCAAATTAAGCAACCATTGGAAAGATGTTCTAAATCGAACCAAACATTAAACTAATTTTGATTTAAAGCTTTCGTGACTGCAGTAATTCATATTCTTAGTTCTTTCGGTAAAGTCACGTTGAAGGGAAACAACAAAATAATAAAATATATATAACAATAAAAATTCTCACGTTTTGACCATAACACAAACGGTCGTCTTCAGGTGTGTCGGTTTGCATAAATGTATTTATTTTTAAACGGTTTATTTATTTATAAAAAAAGATCTCCAAAATCTTGAATAAACACAAGATCCAGGTCCGTTTCAACACATTACATAAAATCCGTGATCTGGTTCCGTCTGTAAAAGATGTGATTCCGGACATACAATACCCTGGTGTCTACAAACTAAGTTGCCTCTGTGGTAGTAACATTGGAGAAACCAAACGCCATGTCTCGGACCGCATTCGTGAACACAAAGCAGACCTTAAACACGGTAGGACCACCTCGGCGGTGGCAGATCATTGTTCTAATTCAGTAGGCTCACATGACATTTACTTTTCCAAGACAAGTTCTTTGTAAGCCATCTGGCTACCATGAGATTCGTTCATGAGGCTATCCACATACAAGCACAGAGACAATTTCAACCGAGAAGATGGATTCTGGCTTAGCAATCATTGGAAAGATTTGATAAACCATTTCAGGTCTTAATTGATTGTTCACGCTTACAGTGGCTTTCAGACAGCATACAAAAAAAATTTCGTCTCCCCCCTCCTCTTTTCAGAACATAGATGGACTAGTCCGTCTAAATAAACTGCCAAATCGCTGCGCGTGGCGCTAACGTTTTTAAATAAATAAATAAACCGTTAAAAAATAAATACATTTATGCAAACCGACACACCTGAAGACGACCGTTTGTGTTATGGTCGAAGCGTGAGAATTTTTATTTTATATATTTTATTATTTTGTTGTTTCCCTTCAACGTGACTTTACTGAAAGAACTAAGAATATTAAACTAATTTTCAATGGTACAGTATATTTTTTCAAGTAGTGGTACCCCAAACTTTCGCAGTTGCTTAAATTCCCTTTTCACACCATCAATATGTAAACTCCCCCCCCCTCGCCGGTCTGCAAACCCAAATATATAGCAGGCGTCGGGGTTGGGATTGAACCCACGAAATCTTTATATCGGGCCCCCTATATATGGATAGTTACCGCCCCAAGGTGACCGCTCTACAGTCGCATCAATTAATCCCTAGCCAATATGGCTACTCTGAATTTCATTGCATCACATGAACGAATCCCTTACTCAAATTAATGGCCACTCGGCAGGTCACATTGCCGTCTTTACCGGCATTGAATCCTTAACTAAGATGGCCACTATGTCATTGCCTGCCATCAATGGATCCCCTACCCAACATGGCCACTCCGCAATGTCACACTGCCCTCTCGCCATTAACGAATCCCCCTACGCAAGATGGCCATTCCTCAGGTCGCATCGCCGTCTCCCCCCCCCCCATCAATACACCCCCTACCCAACATGGCCACTATGCAGGTCACATCGCACCGCGTCCGCACGTCACTGCCGCCTTCAGCCCACGTGCTGTGCTACGGGAGCCGGGAAGAGGTCAAGGCGGAGGACGAGCAGTAGGAGGTTGTTGGTGATGAACATGGCAGCGGCAGCAGCGGCGGCCGCGGCAACATCTCTCGGGAGGCTGGGGCTGCGCCGGGCCGCCTGGGGCACGGCGGCCCGCGGGCCCCGCTTCCTCGGTGCCGCCGCCTCCGAGGCAACGACGTCGGGCAGGCTGCAGGCGAGGGCCGTGTCCAACACCCCGCACAACAAGACGACCTCGCTGGTGGGGCAGGCGCTGACGCAGAGTCCCGGCGGCGGGCACGGGCACGGCGAGGACGGGATCAAAGTGTACGAGAAGGTCAGAGTCACCCCGCCTCTCTCTCGTCTCTCTCTCTCGTCTCGTGTCTCTCTCTCTCGTCTCGTGTCTCTCTCTCTCGTCTCGTGTCTCTCTCTCGTCTCGTGTCTCTCTCTCGTCTCGTGTCTCTCTCTCTCGTCTCGTGTCTCTCTCTCGTCTCGTGTCTCTCTCTCGTCTCGTGTCTCTCTCTCGTCTCGTGTCTCTCTCTCGTCTCGTGTCTCTCGTCTCTCTCTGTCTCTCGTCTCTCTCTGTCTCTCGTCTCTCTCTGTCTCTCTCGTCTCTCTCTGTCTCTCTCTCTCGTGTCTCTCGCTGGTCTCTCTCTCGTGTCTCTCACTGGTCTCTCTCTCGTGTCTCTCGCTGGTCTCTCTCTCGTGTCTCTCGCTGGTCTCTCTCTCGTGTCTCTCGCTGGTCTCTCTCTCGTGTCTCTCTCTGTCTCTCTCTCTCTGGCGTCGCACGCAAGCTGGCTGCAGCTGCTGCTGGGCCCGAGACTCGCGACGTCTCGGGCCCAGCCGCCCGCGGTCGTCGTTGCTGTGTTGAGACTTCTTGTTGTTGTTGAGACTTGTTGTTGTTGAGACTTGTTGTTGTTGAGACTTGTTGTTGTTGAGACTTGTTGTTGTTGCGAGCTCTGTCGAGGCCTCGTTCCACCGGCACCGAGACAGCCGCCGTACACCGCGGCGTCTGTGCCAGGCCAGGTGCACGTTGAGGTGCACACACACACATTTGTCGTCAATCCCTCATAGGTGCCGACTTTGTTACAGTAGAATTCAGACCCTATTGGTCGCCCCGTGTGCCCTTACAAATCGCAACGTACATCCTACAAAGGCCCATCGTCGCAAGGGAGAAACACAAATTGACACAATTTTCGTTGTTGCCGGTATTGAAACGGCTGTAACGCCGTATGGACCTGAAAACTCGAATTCCCTGTCCAAGAATACGAAGTAAAACCCTATGGGTTGACAACTGTGAAGATGCTCATTTGAGCGATTTGCCGGTAATGTTCAAATTTCAATCCCGATCCTCGTCACGCAATAGCCTAATCTTGCGAACGACGGCAGGAAATCTTTAAACTTTCGGTCTGAATCCGACGACGCATCGTATTATTATTATTGTTGTGGTTGTTACACGCACGGTATTGATCGAGGTGGCCGCTAGATTCGAACCGCGGCGAGCCCCTCTGCTGGGCCACGTCACCGCTCATGGTGACCTGTACAGCATGGGAGGAAGCCCTGGAGCCACGAGGTGGTAGCGATGAATTTGGTGAGAGCAGTCCTTAGAGGTTGGGGCGCCGACTGTTCAGCAGTTGCGGGATGTGGCAGCGGGAAGGAAGTGGCGGCGAGGCGTTGTGGTTGTTTTGTTATTATTATTGGTCGTGCTTTTCATTAGAAGGCCCTGTCTCGCTTTGGCTCGCGTTCATTGCGCATTTTTTCAAGTGCTTCACTGTGACCAAATCTGGGCCAATGCCTCATTCCTGCCTGACTGCCAGGTGGCCAGGGCACGACTGGACACCTGTGCAAAAGATCTTCAAAGCTCATCGGATTTTTCCAGTGTAAATGAAGATTCTGGTTGATTCTGATGGCAGACTTCAGCAAGCCATCAGTGCTGTCTCTTTGAGCGATATCCCGTTGGGATGGTAAAAACCACCGAACAGGAGTGTGTTTGACACTTTTTTTTTGCAGAGTTTCACGGTTCAACCACACGACCGCCCTGGTTAATGCCGGAGCTCCACTAACCAGAAATACTGCTCCGCTGTCTGCTGCTTCACAATGGATATTATGCGACCCAAAAAAAAGTGTTACTGAAAAAAACAGTTTGCCATTTGTGCCAGCATCAAGTTCCATATTTAAGAAAAAAATGCTTTCAAATGACGTTTGTAAAACCACGTAGCCAATTAGCCTCCGTACTGGCAGACTATACTCATCTGTGCAACATAGTTCCACCACAATAGGTTTGCACGATAAGAAATGGAAGAATACCTTGCGCGCTAAATTATTATTCCGGTTGTGGTAAACTCAGCTCGTTATCTCCCCCCCCCCCCCGACCAGAGTGAATACTGAGTAATACTTTGCGGGAAGTCACCATTGGTCATCCTGTGGAGAGACTGGGCCCTGTCATTGGAACGTGGAATTTCCACTTTGGCTCATGGCCACCAATGGGAGATGAGCAGGCTTCCCATTGGCTGTTTGAGCAGGGGGACACTTGACTTTGACACTGAATGTTTGTGTACACTGCTGGATGATGGCATCCCCACGGCCATCGGGTCGTCTGGTGGTAATTTGACCCTACTCCTGCAGGCCAGTCAGTGCGGGTTGATGTCGCTGGCAGGCATAGACGTGGGAGCATAGAAGTACAGTATTACCCACCACATAGCCTCGTGGATGGTAGTCACTGATCCGAGCACAGTCTCAGGTTTCAGGCGACTCAGCTTTCGAGATCTGATGGAGATTATTTGGCCATTGGCAATATTTTATAGAGGGACATCCAGTGGTAAACAGTGGTAATCTCAGATTTCCACACGAATATCACATGTGCCTTAGTCACCGCTAGAGGGTGTAACGATTGAATATAATTATCGGCAATGTTTGATTCATGTAAATTGCCACGTAGTGGTTACATGTCATTACGTGTTTTGCTATGTGTCAGTGGACACGCTGGATACCCTTGCAGGCTGAGGTGCTCCATCTCAGGGGATTGTGCCGGTGAAATATTTTAACAAAACTAAAAACGGGTTTGCGTGACCACTTCGGCCGCGCTCCGAGGTGCGACAACATGTTACCGCAACGATGAATCAAATCGCTGCCCCAATCGTGGCAATTTATCGAATTTTGAAGGCCTCCCCCCCCACCACCCGCCCCGATTTTTTAATGTCCGGCGACCGCATCGTGAGAGAGTGTTGCCCGCTTCCTCTGGGCTCGTGCCGTTGGTTGAAACATTGGCCTTGCTGTGTGTGCGTATTGCCGTTCTTCCCTTGTTTTGTGCTTGTCATTTTGGTGACCAAGGGGTCACTTCGTGTGAACGAGGCTCAACCTGCTCTCTTGAGTTTCCGCCAGGTGAAGCAAGGTAAACTTGAAATCGTTTCACTACCTCGCCTGGTGTGCAGGAGGGTCGTGGGTTTGATCCCAACCCTGACGCCTGCTGCTGTATATTTTGAGTTTACGTGTCTCTCTCTACCCGTGGTCACGTGGATTTTTCTACGGGTCCGTTTCGCTACCTCGCCTGGTTGTTCCCTTCACATTTAGAATCAACATGATGTGTTTAAGAGTATATGGCTTCATTGAGCAATCATTTGTGGCCTGGTCGCTTTTTAAAAAAAGAGCTAAATAGCTCAGTGGGCCTTACCTGATAAAAAAAAAATATAAACATACGATTTATAGTTTTAGATGTTTCGCTTCAAACTGTGCCAAGCGCCTTCAGCGCAGAATCCATGAAGTCGGAATAACCGTGCCACCTCGTATGCAAACTGTCTTGAAAAAAATGCTTGATGTGTTCATGTGTGGCTGAAGGAGTCTCCACTTGTGCTTCTCCACCCGGGTTGCCACCTGTCTCCGCTCCACCCGGTGTAGCCCAGGAATTGGCATCTGTTTTCGGGTTGGCAGGATTTGATTTGGACCGAGATCCGATACCGGCACTGTGTTCAACTTCATTGCACCAGACTGGAGAACACTTCTGGGTTTTTCGCACCATGATAACGGTTGTTTAAGGACGATTTATAATCGTCAATTATTATTGTTGGTTTTCGTCCACAGTGGAAACGAATAATTTTTCTGCACGTTTGCCAACAGTGCCCTAGACTGTATTCGGTATAGTACAGGGATGAGTGATATGAGCAAACACGTGGAAGGCGCCTGATCTCGTCAGATCTCGTCAAACCAAGCAGGGCTGAGCCTGGTTCGTGTTGGGATCGAGTGGCCACCGTGCATGGCCGATGTTATAGGCTTATTGATTGCAGGGCTGCACGGTGGACAACAGAGGGCACTGCAGCAACATCGTCTTGCCCGTCCGTATTGCATTCATACACTCCCACGTCTGTTGCTCCCCTTCTTCACCAACCAGCACGAAGCAGTTGTGGTGAGCAGAGCCGTCCCTCGGATCGCTTCGGGGGGCGCCCAGAGGTTCGACATCACGCTGTCAGATGTTATAATTCCCGTTTAGTTTATAGGTGGGGGGAGGGGGAAGAAGGGGGGGAGGGGGTTCGAAGGGTGGTTTGTGGGGAAATGGGGTGGTGTTTAATAAATGGCCGTAACTATGCAGACTTGTCATGTCGGTCGGTTTAAATCCTCCAGGTGGCACTATGGGCAAGTACACAGCTGAATCATTGTACAGTAATCTCACATCTCAGTCGGAGGTCTGCTCAGCAGACCCCCCCCGGGGTCGAGTATCACCACGATTACTCCAATATTGTCAGCTGAAATTGTAATTACAATTGCATTGTGTTTACAGTTAATTTTAAATGGCACAATTAGAATTGCATTTTTTAGCTTCATTGTGGAGATTATACATAGCGAGACAAATAAGCACGCAATACTTCACCATCCCATATCTGTCCCACCACTTAAAAAAATCTTACAATACATTTTTTGTACACATCCCATCGGTCGCACGGCCTTCTGGGAGCGCGCAAATTCAGCAGCATCGGTTCAACGCAAGCGAAACTCCGGACCAGCTTTGACATTTGGTGTCTCTTCAGCAGTGTCCAGGCTTGCTTGAAACCGATGCCAAAACTGGCCCTGCCCCTTGGCGTGCTACTCAGCCCATCATCATTCTGGGATCCGTGAAAAATGAGCTCAGTACGACTCTTAAATCAAGAGGTGATGGTGGATGTTGTGGAGGGACTGGGCGCCCACCATTGGAATGTGGAATCTCCGTCACCGACTCGGGGGGGGTGGTGCGGGAGGGGTGGCAGGAGCCGCTGCTGGAGAGTGGAGCTCGTTCGACTCTGCCACTCGGCTTTAACAGTTGAAATCGGCTGTCGATTTCTCTCCCCCCCCCCTCTTCCTCCAAGTCGA